GGATGGGAGTTTGTCAGGTGGATGGCTCAAAAACGCGTGAACCTGTCTACGAAAACACATAATCTGGCTATAGATACATTGCAAAGTATGAGTAGATATGGTTGGCTCTTGCTATGGCGAGGAAGGGGATAACGCGATGTGAGGAGGGGGTAAGATGAATAGCGATATGGAGCGTTCAGTATCAGATGTCGAGCGCTTCGTGGGTAGGTCTTTTCATTACCGGCAATCCATCACGAAATGGTGTCATCACGACCAGCCAGCTGGGCAGTCTCCGACCATTCCGCTTGGCTCCAGCTTATTGCGAGCTGGAGCGGTATCCACGTCAGCTTGATCCGCCCAGCCGGGGCCAAGCTGCGTGATTTTCGAGCCAAGTCAAGCCAGCCGTCAAGCCCAACTCGAATTGGCGGCAACACTACATTGCTTCACGTCATACAATGCCTCTTGGTATGCACAGCTAATTTATGATATTTCGCGTACATAAAGACAAAGAAAGGCGTAAGGAGCGACGGGTATTTATTAATGACCGATTGTAAGGAATGAATGAATAACAAATAGCGTAGTAGTAAGAGACGGAACGGTGAGGAGTCCAAGGAACCGGCAGGTGGAGTACATCAGCCAAGCCACTTCGTGGAGAGAGCTTGAGAGCCAGGAGCAACGCCGTCTGGAAGTACAACGTGAACTAAAGTATGCTTCGAGCTGTAACCCGAAGACAACACCCGGTCTGGCACGGCCTGCTGCCAGGAATTCCAATCGGGACGCCCGAGCGCCTCGGTGAAGTACGTTAGCATGTCCCAATGGTTCGGAGTTTTCTTCTCGAGCACGTCCTCTGGGTCCTCGTGCTCTGAGTCAGGATTCTGTGAGAGATCAGCAGATTGAGGATCGTCTTGGCAAGCGGTGTCGCCTTTGGGAGCGTTGGAGGGATGACTATGCTTCGTAATCTTGCGGGGTGGAGGGGTTGGGGTACCTGCACAGTTATTGAGCTTCCGAGAGGCCCCAGCGAGCTTCTTTGCTTCATAGTACCCTTTGAACCAGGTAAGCAAGGAGGAAATAAGCCAATCAAGAGGAGGGTTGGAAAACGAGATCGGAACTACTGTTCCGGTCAAGGGGGAGATATACGTGAGTTGTCCAAGGCCAACCACTAGCGCGAGCTTGCGGCGACCGGCAACTATCCTCTGCTTATTCACGCCAAAGCAGTCGAAAGTCTCGTCGATGAAGAGAGCGACTTCGCGATCGTCAGTGACGTCGGACGGGAGATAACGCATGGCATAGTAGACCAGAATGAGAAGGAAGGACTCGAGGTCGTCGCAGCTTCGTACAGGCTGACGGCTGTTCATGAGCAGGTTCACGGACGTGAACTGCCAGTTGGCCTATGATCAAGCATACTTAGTATAAGGGACGGTTTTCGCAGTGTGGAAAGCATGACATACCGTGCATATTGGCTGCCGAGCTAGGGACCGTTCATTAGGGCCCATGATAGGCTTGGACAAGTCCCAGTCTATGAGCATTCCTGTCCATACCAACGCGAGACCTCCGTCCTCCCTGACGCGTACCCTCGGATATATCATTATGTTGCTGTCGACAATGTCACGATGTAGCACGTTGACATCCAAATCCTCCGATGTAGCAGCACCCATGTGAGCTAAGAAGATACATGTTTTTACTTGCGTTGATGTGATGAATATATGGCGCTCACCAATGATGCACTCAAGGACGACGGTGACGAGCTGTTGCGCCTCCACATACTTCTTCAGCTCCAAGCAGACTTCCTCAATGGCTACGCGGTAGTGCCTGTGGTGTCGCATGCTGCAGTCCGCCCGGCATCGCGGAGGAGCTGGACAGATGGGATCAGCATGCCCTCGAGGAACGTCATCAGACGCAAGATGCTCGCGCTTCCGCTTCTTGTCGGTGTTCGGGGATAAGCGTAAGGGAGGATCATTGTTGGTACTGGGAGACTTGGATTTCGATGCAGTAGTGTCGTGGTGCGAAGATGCGGAAGGTGCAGATTCAGAGAAGAGTGGGACTGGGGGAAGGTTTTTGCGCTCCCACCATGCGGCGGTCTCCGTAATCTGGACACCGACATCGCCGTGGCAAATGACAGTCGGAACATTACTGACACCAGCCTTGTTCAGTCGCAGGAGCACGTCTCCTTCCCTCTCAATGTCCTCGTACCATGCGCGCCAGGTGTCCTTGAGCCACACCAGCCGCTTCGCCTGGACGTCATAGGCAACATAGCCCTTGGTAGTACGGCCCACAGCGCCAGACGCACGGAAAGTAGGCTTCCCAACAAGGTAGTGATGCTTGTCTCCGTTGTCATCTGTAATGGAGAGTTGGTGCCGAGGCCACTCCTTGATTGCGATGGAGTTCTTGAAGAGCTCGAGGACATAAGTGAAAACGAAGCCGTCCGGTAGTGCCTCATCAAGAGGACGATTGGTGTGGTCCACAGCAACCTTCTCCAACTCTATGGCGATGTCGTCCATTTCGTTTGTCAGATTTGGTCGGAGGGGGAGCCGGATGGCGGTGGGGTCGAATCCGAGCGCGGTGCTCGAAGAATGAGAGAATCGCCAGAGAAAGTCGCAGAGGAGGTCGGGATGTTTGAAGTAGTCAGTAGACTTGGTGGTGACGACCCCAGAACGATCCCAGCGCAGTAGGCGGAATCGGCGACCAATGATGAGGAGCATGAAGAGGAAGGTGCGTTGTTGGAGAGCGAAGAGGAGGTCCGCGTATGAGATGATCTGCCCACGGGACTTCTTGCGCAAAAGCGCGGAAGATTCAATGTTTGAGTCCTCGCGGTCGTCGAAGGGATCCAGCTCATTCCCTCGTTTGCGATTCTTGAACTCGCATGGCAAGCATTGGTCGACCCAATGCGGACGCCCGTCGGTTGACGCGTCCTTCGTGTGAAAAAATGCCGCGTCGACCTTCTGTCTCGATGTGTCCAGGTCCAAAGGGTCTGGTCGAGCTTCGGAACGGCACATCACAAAACCTGGACTGAGTTTGTGAGTCGTCACTGCCTGCATCTAATCTGAAGTTAATGCCAGTGTCGAGTCAGCGGTACGGTGGTTAGAACTCACGAACAGGTCCTGAACGTCGATTTCAAGCTTCTTATCCGCGTTCTTGAGAGTCGCAAATGGATTGGGAATATGTGGACGTTCTGGTATGTCGTTGTTGAGTGGAAGAAAGCCATCGAGAAACTCCATTACTGAGTCCGTCTTGACAGTGTGGTTGGCCATGTTCTCGGTGAACTGAATGCGACGCTGCAGGAGGTCAGCAGCTGCCCCGATCGACAGCTCGCTTCTGTCATGTTTGCGGGGAGACTCTTCCACATGGCCTGTCCGAGACATGGTGGTGGATGTACCGGAGGCAGACCCTCGCAGCAGGTGATGGTGCCAGTGGTGGATGCAGAGAAAAGGTTGGATTTTTAACGTGACTTTGCGCAATCCATAATTGGCAATCGAGGCTGCATTTAGTGTATTTGGGGAGAACAATGAAAGTTGAACCTGTTCGCCCGTTACGGCCAATGCACGCTTACCTCACTCGGCCGCGCGGCATCAGATTTGGAATGACTCGAGTTGTGCCTTGGTGAGCAGGCTAAAGCGACTAGAGAGTTTGAAGCATTTATCAATGAGAGGAACATGTCACGAGTATATTAGAGCATGTGCTCCTTCTGGTAGTGGTTGGTCAGTGGGGTCGCCGTAAGTGCGGCACATCTGAGATAGGACTCGACCACCGTCAATGCAAGCCCTGGAGAATACAACTTTCAGATACTCTCGGAAAGATGCAAGCATGACCAAAACCCCTTGCATTTGACTTGGGGGCGACACGGCCCCGGATTGAAGATAACGATTCGTGTGAAAATAAACTGGTTGAATCAAGTCGTGCTGCGACAAGAGCTATACGGTCCACTGTACATATAGGAAGCGCAACGATCACCCCAACGAAGAAGGTCATGCGGTGGAGTACAACGTATTCGCATACCCAAATCCCTACTTGCCATGCTGATCCATATTGCTCTTGTGAGCATAAATGATTGCCTGAAGCAAGCTGTCATCTCCCGGCAGCATCAACATTTACAATCCCAACACGATAGAATAACGGATTGCTCAATTGGATGTTTTATCAAGCGAAGACGCAGAAGGGTTTATGGAGCCGTCACGAAGACCGACATGGGAACCAATCCAACCTATAGAAACGCACCCGGACGATCCCTTCCCGATCAACCCAGCCTCTGTTTGACGAGCATAATTCCGGCGGCCAGACTAGTGTTGCCGGAGGCTACACATCATGACAGGTCTTGCGCGTGCAAAACTCCAGAATCCTCGAGAACGACCACGGACAGTGAGCCCACGGGTATTCGTCCAGGAGAGGCGACAAGATTTAGCATCGTAGGGCGGCAGGTCAAGTCAAATACGCAGATGTCATGGCCAGAACCCTATATGTTGCCTACTACGAGCTACCATGGCGAGAAAGAGGAGACCCAAGATTCAGAGATAAGGAGACCCCATCGCGATGAGCTGTCCCTCACAAGCGCCTAATCGCAGATAAGGATTTTACTAAACTGCAGTGACGCAGTGGGTTCTGACCTCTCGAAGCGCCGCGTCGTCGTTGGGCAACGTGCTTGCAATGCCGGCGCATCAATCACTATTCGCCTTGCCCTGATCATGCATGGTCCCGGGGAAACCGCATGACTGATCGAACCCAATTTACTGGGATATGCTAGACAGCAAGCGGAGTTGTTTCAGTCAGTGCGAGGGGCCTCGAACCCACGCGTTAATCTACATTACTGCGGAGAACTTTAGATGAGAAGACAACGAAATGATGTTCACTAAGCGCGTTGCGTTGATGTACGAACGTACCCTAAAGACAGACAGGAAGCGAGCAGTCAAAGGTGGATTGAGGAAAAGCAGTGGCTGTGGAGGTACCTCAAACGGCGTCAAACAGTGTATGGCAACGCGGAAGGAAACAGAGATGGCCGAATGCCAGGCAGAGACGTCGTGCCAGTGAAGAGATAAAAGGTGTCGCAAATGTCGGGATAGATCTCTCTCAAACGAATGATCAACCTTCGGTACCAAAGGCTGCATTGTGACCTGACTCTCGTGAGTACTAGGCAGAGTGCGCGCCCAGCAACGGTCGCTGCGCCGTGACCGTCGGTGTGAAACCGCACCCTTCGGTCCGGGTTACCGTTCGGGTTCCCTGGTACGCTGCCGCTTGTTGCTCGCATTCTCAATGGAGGATTGGGGTACGCTCGGTCTGTGCTCAGAAGACGTGGCGTCCGTTTCTGTCGCATCGGGAGGATATCTGGGTATCCGGTCGTCCTTTGTCCAGAGAGGCTGCCGGAGAGCTCGGGAAAAGATATTAAGCATGAAAATGTGGTTCATAATCTTCCCAGCGCGAGCCTCGTCTTCAACTGTCGGGCTGTCGTCCTTTGGTGGGGCGTCCCAGTCGATGAGGTCTACATCGTCAACATCGACATTATCGACATCATCGATATCATCGATATCATCGACGTCATCGACAGCTTCTCCTGGCGGGAATACAGACGAAGTGGGTGCGGTAGAGGGCCAATATGGGACCGGGGAAAGAGCAGAATCACGAGACATAACACGCTGTCGAGAGGCGTACTCCAGGATCTTGTAATGGGATCTGAAGCACTCGAGGACAAACGCGATGAGGTTGTCCATCGGACTTGAGAATAGCAGTGGGCCGTATGGTATCTGCGTCCGAAGCTCCCCGGTGGCCTCCATGACAATTGACTTCTGTCCACATCCGTACATGCGCTTCGGGCCCGCGTAGTTGTTGAAGTAGCCTTGAATGAAGCTCTCAATCTCGTCGCAGTTCGACTGCAGGTATCGAACGGAGTAGTAGACGAGGACGTGGAAGAACGACTCGAGTTCGTCAGAGATATGAACGGGTCGCGAGAGGTCCGACAGCAGATTGACGGACATGAACTGGTAGGTGCCCTAATCCAGATCGTGAATCGTCGTTATGACATGGAAAACCCATTCAACGTACCATACGCCCCGCTTGAGACATCTGAGAAGGAGTGTTCTGGTCCTCGACAGGCTTCGACAACTCCCAGTCACTCAAGATGCCAGTCCAGACCAACGAACGTTTCTTGCCGGCCTTCCTACACCTCACTTTGGGATAAATGAGGATGTTGCCGCCGCTGATGTCACGATGGAGTATCTGCGTCTTCGGATTCGTGGCCGCCTCACAGTGTGCTGCAAAGGCACGCGTCAGCACGACTACCAGGATAGGAAAGGACGAAACGTACCACGAAGACAGTCCCGGATGAGCGATACAAGCTGCCGTCCGCACTTGAAGCACTTGAGCGACATACAAACTTCCTCCACGGCGATTCTGTAATGCTTGTGCTGCCGCAGAGGGCAACCAGGGCGGACTGCTGCGTTTGCGGCCCGGGGACTAGCCACAGCCGTGGATGCATCCTTACCGGCTGCGTCCACCAATTTACGCTTCTTCCCACGCGGACAGGTCGACATCGAAAGAGTGCGGGACGAGAAAGAAGACGTTGCAGAGGCAGGACGTGACGACGAGGACAGAGCGCACTGGCGCTCCCACCGATCCGCTGTGACAGTCGTCTGATCTCGAATATCGCCATGACAGACCAGCGTCGGAACGTTGACGACGTTTGCTTCATTCAGCGTCGCAAGAATGTCGCCCTCGGTGTCAGAAATAATGTACGACGCGCGCCAGACATCCTTGAGCCACGCGAAGCGTCGGGTCTTGCAGTCGTAAGCGACGTACCCGCGCGTACCGCGCCCGAGGGGTCCAGCTGTCACAAACGCAGGTTTCCCGACAAGGAAGTCGCGTGTGTCCTCGCCGTCCGGAACCTGGAGTTTGTAGCGGGGCCAGCCGGACTTGAGAGAGTCCCGGAACGCAGTCCGGACGTACTCGAAAACCACAGCAGTCGTGATCTCGTCGTCCTTGAGGCGTCGTTCCTCGGGGTCGGCATCTTCGGGTTTCCCGAGAGCGGCGATGTCCATGCGAAGGTAGTCAATGTCACCGGGTACAACCTGAGTAGCGCTTGGGTCAAATCCGAGCGCAGAGTCGTCTAGATGGGCTAGGCGCCACAAGACCTCGCAAAGGACATGGGGATGTTGGAGGTAGTCGACGGATGGCGTGACAATCGTTCCAGCGCGGTCCCAGCGGATGAGCCGGAATCGGCGGCCAATGACGAGGAGCATGAAGAGAGCGATGCGATGCTGGGCGGCGAAAAGGTGCTCGGCAGTAGTAGTGATCTGGTCGAGCAGCTGTTTACGCCCCGCTTCAAGTTCGCCAAAGCGGTCTTCGTACTCCGTGCTGTCGAAAGGGTCGACACCCAGGATATCTTCGCCAAACTCGATAGGAACGAGTTGGTCAAACGACGATGGTGGGTGGTTGGAAGAATCGTGGTTACGAAAGATCGCGATATTGACGTCGCTCGTCTGTGAAGGGAGGGAAGATTCCATGGACGAGTAATGTGACACCTTCAAAGATCCTAGAAGTCCGTGGGTGCTTATGGCTTCAACCTGTTGTACGAGTTAGATCTGAGCTGAGAGAAGAACATTGGAGATTCACCAGAAGGTTGGCGACTTCACCACGTCGCATTTGGTCTGCAGTGTGAAGCCTTTCGAAGGCATTCGCCTCAATATCACGTATAGGAGGCGACCCTGCAGAGAATGGGAGCAGCGTATCGAGAAATTCCTCGCTCTCCAAAGGGACCACTGAGTTTGCCATGTCGGTGGTTGATGATGAGAAGGAAGGCAGACTCGACTCGATACTGATGAGAAAAGGAGGTAGAAAGAGACCAATTGCGGAGCAACGGAACCCCAAAGAACATACAGATGGCGGTAGTCACGAGTGTCCGGACGATATGGTGGATGATATCGAGTAAGTCCTCGAGCGCCCAACGACGATTCAGTGGCACATTAAGCGCTATATCGAGATACTAATAGTCGCTGGTGACTTACCAGTACCAAGCAGCCGAAGTCCACGTCTAGGCTCACTATAATGGAGTCGGTCCTCCACTAAAACAACAATGCATAGCATGCATCAAGGAAATGTGTTTGCGGATGAAGGGCGAGTATCTAGATCGACAAGAGGACCGGAGTTCCCAGACCCAATAGTTATGATCAGGTCATGTTCTCACTGTAAAGTTCGGTGCACACGTACCTGATTTGTGGCATACGGGTCCAAGGAGGCTCAGAGCACGCCCTGCCTAGACCGTAACTATACCACAATGAAATACAAAACGACGTACACTAGAGCACTACACAGTGATACAATACAACCTAAAAATCGCTGCGCATAACGCAATCAACCCAACCTCAATTCTGACAGGTACCTCACCTCGCCTCTAACAACTGCCCCCCAGCAGCAGCCCGCTCGATCCCCTTGAATATCACCTGCACCCGCCGCTGCGTGCCCTCGTCCCTCCCCGCCCCCACCGCATCTTCCTCCTCGTCCTCTTCCTCCCCGTGCCCAGGCTGACTCTCCATGAACTCCGCAACGAACTGCGCGATGCCCCTCTCTCCCACCTCCGTCAGCGCCCGCGCGCCCCACCGCCACTCGAATGCATGCAAATGGTCATCGCCCCCGGTAGGGGCCTGCGTCGCGCGGGCGCGCTTCTGCCCGCCCTTCACTGCAGCGGCAGTACCGACGTGTAGCTTCTCGAGGTAGCCTTGGCGGGTCAGCTGCGCGAGGTACGCGTCGATTGTGAGCGATTGGCCGTTCGTCGCTTGGCTGTTCAGCGGGACCGCAGCGCTAGCGGGCAGTTGGAGGCGTTTGAGCATTGCGCGCAGGTCACCTGAAGCAACGGCCGGGGGCTCGTCAGCGAGAATCCGATGTGAAGAAGGGGTCAAGCGTGGGAACGGGAGCGCGCATACATACCGTCGCTGACCACGCGTCCTTCGACGAGGATGAGCGCGAGGACGACGTATAGAATGCCTGTTGCCGCAAGCTGGTCCGAGGCGTGCCATGAGAAGATGCTTCCGGTCGACCGTTGACCGACGGAGTTGTCGTCCTCGGCAAACTCCTCGTTCTCATCGACGTGCTCCTTTTGCTCGATCTCACGGATCTCAGCGTCGGGCGCGCATGCCTGTTCTATGAGCGCAGTATCGAGGAAGGACCGGAGAATATAGGTCTTTGTACCGGTAGGGGCAGCTTTATAGCGAAGGGGAAGTGGTGTTGTCAGAGAACCCCCGTCTGCAAACTCGCCCGAGGAGTACTCACCTTTCTTCTTGACCCCTGTAGTTTTCAGTAGATCTGCGTCCTTCTCGCTCATGTCTTTGTGGCACCGCTTGCATCTCCACCAGTTCCATTCCGAATGTTTTCTGCAGGATCTGGTTTGCTGCAGCGAGAACGGAACTGAAGGTGCGCGAAGCCGATCCCAACACTGTCTACATGTGCTCAATCAAGGTCAAATTGCCCGCGACGTACGCCACGCACCTTTCTTGGATATCTCGTCTCTCCTTAGAGGCATCCGTCTCTGCTCGTTGAACAAAGCGAGGCGGACCAGGTCGCGGGCCTTCTTGTCGATCTCCTGCAAGCGAGACAAGGGTTCCTGGGGAAGGTCAATGCAAGACGGCTGAATAACTGACCCCTTGAGCCTTGTCAACCTCTCCTTCGTCCTCGTCATACGCCTCCTGTGCGTCCCGCTACTCTTCTGGCTGCTCCTCCACCTGCGCCCGTCGCGAACGGCCGGCCTGAGTAGCTCGCGGTAGCTGGGATCGAGAGGCTCGAGGAGCACGCTGGGAGCGCGTTTGTCGAACCATGACGGAGATGATGTATCCTTGTAATTGCTTGAATCACAGGCGGAGACGAAAAGAAATCCATTGCAGAGAGCTACAGAGGTGTAGAGATGTGTGTACAAGGCTACTGACTCGCGTCTCGTGTATCTGCAAGGGCGTCTCTTGTGTACGCGCAAGTGGCACGTGTTTTGCGCGGTGCCAGGAGTCCCCCGACAGTTGCCAAACGCAGTTCTCCTTGTAAGTTGCATCGCCAACTGATCTTGAAGGCCAGGGCTGTCATGATCATCCTGCCAGCTTCAGCTACCCGTCTGCAGTCTATTCGAAGAGGTGCGCACGTTCGCATTCCTATCTGATGAGCTCACTTGAGACAGAACGATGAGCATCTTCTCAAATGAATCCTCTTGTGATTGGCTCATATTGCCTGACATGTTTGCGTCTCGCGGCTCAGATTCAGAAGGTCAGCAGACCCTGATAGAAATACACGAGCAGACTTCCGCGCAGTAAACTATCACACGGCTGGGTTGACTACATGTGTCATACGCTGTGTACTTCATTTCCGAAGATGTAGCTACAGGGTGCGGAGCCGTTGCTTCTTGACAGATATCTGATGTTAGCGAAGGTCGTGCACATCGGAATTCGTAGCATTGCACAGGTGATTTGCCGTCCTCGCGGGAATGTACGCCCTGTCTGTCCTACTGATATTAAGCCAGAGCTCCACTTCGTGCGTATCACATCAATGGCGATCAGGGTTTCTTGGAAGATAGCTCCCACAATATCTGATACAATAAGCTTGGGCGGACGAAGATGTGCAGCTGCTCCCTCTTCGTCTGCTTTTCCAATGTCTTCCTCTGTGCTTTCACCAGTCCAAGAGCGGTTGAATATCTCCCTCGATAGCTCCCTGGGGGCTATACTGATCGGAACATTCATTGGGATACTGTGAGCCAACCGTCCAACATATACGACATGAACTGATCGTCACTTGCCGTCAGGATGTATGGAGTTACTTTGCACCAAGTATACCTCTATGCCACCATCTACTCGTCTGATCCTGTGAGACTCAAACTCGCGGTACGCACCCCCTTGACATGTAGCCTAATTCCTGTTATGTTGAGAATCGTTCTTCTTGCAGGTCTATGCCACAATGTGAGACATGCTTGCTTGATGCCTATCAATTGCCCTAATATGTCGTTATAAGCCTCCTGGAGACGGTACACATGGGTTTCTGCTGTCACACGTGGTGAGCTGATGCCACATATGTGCTATTTTCTATATCCTGATAATCCGCTACACCAGCTACTTCTACCTAGTCACGAATTACTTCAATCCTGGAGCCCTCGGTTCTACTCCACTGTGAGTGTTAAAGAATTTCGGAGAATGATTATCACCAACCCCATCTATCTCTGTTCTCTATCTCTACTTCAAGTTCTCTCCAGGTGAATACACTTGCTTCCGATAGCGAGCGAACAGTGTTCATTCTGAAATTCAAATTCTCAGCTTCTTTCCGTCCCCACTGTACGCACTACATTTTTGGCAGCGTTTGACATGACATACTCCCTCGTGATTTCTCTAGAGCTTGGTCATTGTCACATCTCAAGCGTGAGTGTCGACACCCCCACACTAGGAATTCATCAATATCTATTAGAACTCATGTGTCTGCGGCAGGTTTTTCGCTCGCCGAGCGTATGTTTGTGAGCGGCGAGGGCGATTCTCGAATTTCTACATGTTCTAATTCATTGTTTTCCTGCAGTTGCCAAAAGGCTATACTACAAGGTGTTAGTCATTGTTGCGGTACGTGAACACATGTATTGTATCGAGGTGCACCTATTGTACTCAGTGAAGCCACATCTTGGTAGGTTGTGCTGATGCTTCTCGAGCTCGGTAAGAGATCAATATTGACCTTCAGTTTCTGTTATATTGATCACTGATGAGGATGTTCGTATAATGTATAGGATTCGGAGTCGGTAAGACAGGACTTTCTTCAGCAATTATGGTGTGAATGTGACTCCTTGACGCCACACAAGCGTCCGCCGTCATGCAGTATGCTTGTCCAATCCCTTAGTCCGATATTCTGCTGATCTTTTCGTGCTCTCAAGGATTCGTACAGTCAAGTCAGATACTGCTGGAGAGTCGTCCCTGATAGTGAATCTTCAGCATTGGCGACGCTTTTCCCTGTTCTCACACTGCCCAATGATAGTGGATGTCCGCCTGCGTTTCGAGTCTCGCTGCATGTGCGGACGTCATATTGAGCACTGTCTTGATTATTGCTCTACGTCAGAGTCGGGGGGGCCGCAAGCGGTGAGGTTCCAATTTTGCTAGGCCCGTTCGCTGTCTAACCTACATCTTCAGAACGGATTCAATCTTGGACGTACTGGCCCTGTATACTGTTGCCACAGGTCGTTTACTATCCTTCGGATTTGCGCTTCACGACTCACCAGTCTGCCATCACCATTCAGGGCTGATCACAAGGTGAACCTTGCAGGAGGCTCCTCATGGGTTACTCACAACTGACTTTGCTCGTACGACTAGCATGACCATGGTCTCCTTGTTCCTCATCGTGCGTCCATCTCTGTTTACTACCCGTGTGCAACACCCAGCCCTCATCTTTCACAAAGATTGTAATACGCCGATCAGCATACGGAGCTTATGTCGCGGTTTCCATCATAGGCACCAAATGTACGTATCTCGTCATATCACCTGACGACATGCAGCTCATATTGCCCTAGTTTACGCCATTTCGCTTCTCACTGCGTGCGCATGCTTTGAAGCAGGGTGCTGACCATTCGTGAAAATTGAGATTGACCGATGTTCTATTATACATTCAGGTTGAACAGCAGGCAATCGCTACGTGACCGTGCCAGAGGTCATCTTGAGGGGACAGAAATCTTCGGCACTGAAATGGGCAGTCGCAGCCGTGCGAACGCGCCCGTCTCCCTTGAATTACGTATGGACTCGAATGGCAACGGTGAGTCGGTAGCTCGTCTCATAAGCATATACGAATGAATCACGGACTGACGAGCGTATCAGGAGATACCGTGTCCTTGGAAACAGGAGCGCACAAACACGGCGTGGGTCCTCGACGTGGACACGAAGATGCTCTGCTGGAGTCTTGAGATGCGAGTCGATGTTGTGCATCGTCGCTGAATCTTGCGGCTGCTGGAGGAATGATTGCAGACGCTCAGTTACATCCTCTGCTGAGAGAAGCGAGACATCTGCTCGGGACGCAGTAGCGCGGCGATCCCGTTATCTAGGATTGTTCAGAGCTCATTTGATTAATCAATGTAAGAGCATCAAGGTGGTCAGCGAACGGGCAGTGGACTGATGGTTGGGAAGGGCTTAGATCTAGACAGTCAGGGAGCGACAGTAATCGCTACTTCGACTAGGTGGCAACTACTGAATTAGAAGCCAAGGGGAGCAAGTCGTACGTGCGGAAGCGGCGACAATGGAGTACCCCGTCAACGTGTCATATGTGAAGCTCGAGCAACGAGCGTGTAAGCAGAATTCAAGGGCAGAATGGCGAATGGCTCCGTAAATGGTTCTGTCGCACTCCGGAGCTCAACTCAATGGGAAGAGGGCTTTCCCGGCAATGTCTAGGAACCTCTCATGATCCTCAACGTTCTCGGCGAGAGCCAGCTCCCCGCCTGTGGGCGAAGGGTCTTTGTCGGAGGGTAGGTGTATTCAGAACGCCGCCTTTCGGGGAGACGCCTCCCTGCCGTATGCCCTCGGTTTTCATCCGCCAGACGTCTCTGAGAAAAACGAATCGGTCTGCGCCTTCCTGCCCAGGGGACGAAGAGATGGGATCATATTCGAAGGCAATGTAGCTACGCGTGCCACGACTGACGCGTACCGAGACAAAGGGTGGTTGGCACGTAAGAAAGTAACGTTTCCCGTTCCCGTCGGGCACCTCGCCTTGGTACAGAGGGTACAGAGGATGTTCGGTCACGTTTCTCTCTGAACGCGCCGCAAACGTGGCCAAGTGTGGACGACTCACCGGGCTCTTCGTCCCCGAGCAAGCGAGTTCTCTCATCAACGTCGCTGCCGTGACCGGTGGCGGTGGTAGTCATCCGTCTCCAACGAGCATACTGTGAGCTCAGCCGAACAGCAGTAGGGTCCGCCCCGAGCATTTCAGGGACATAGCGATGGGCGAGGGATGTACACCACAGGATGTCGCGTAGTCGACGGCCTCAGACATCACAACCCAGGAGCGATCCCAGCGAAGTATGCGAAACGTGCGGCCCGTGACGGCGATCATGACGAGGAAGAGACGCTGCTGGACGTCGAAGAGGACTGCGGCATACCTCAAGTACTGGCTGAGCATCTCCTTCCGCTTCTCCTCGTCGTCCTCCATGTGCCTATTCCTATCGCAACAGAACTCGTCGTCGACACCGCACTGCCTGAAGACGATCGGGACTTCTTGCGCGGTCCATGGAGCCCGGCTGCTTGACAATTCAACATCGTGGTCGAATAGAGCAGCATCGAGCGTGTCACCATCTCCGTCGATGACACAGAAGTCAGGGCGTGCGGAACAGCATGCAGCCATACATCCCGGCGCGAGCCGATGCTGGTCGATTGCCTCTAACTACCTCGACCGTTAGATGCTTCGTCACCATTAAGACAACAGTATTAGCACCCACTAAAGCCATACAGACTTCGAGGTTGGTCATCTCACTCGCACCTTGCAGCTCACCGAAGGGGTTTGTAGTCAGCTCGTGTTGTGGAATTAGGGTATGGTTAGAAAAAGAATCGTTTTCGAACAGAGAGTTATGAACAGGCGCCCCGAATCAGGCCGTTTCTAACCGGGATTAATAACTGTTATTAACTCTTGTGTTATTAACTGTTAAGAAGATTTTCTAACGCCGCCGAGGTTTATTAACAGTCGTATTGAATCGATGATCACCACGCGTCCTATCATCTTGCCTGGCTCGCAATCTGCTACCCTATCCTCATTGTAATCCTTGTCTCCATCATCTGGGTCGCACAAAAGCATGCGCAAGGCTTAGGCACGGAGATTAACCTCGCCATCTACCTTGAACTCGGTATCTTACGCCTACAGCCTCCGACCGGACTTTTGAACAATATATAACCGGGCTGATAGACCCCTGGGCTTTTGAACCGTTAATTAACATGTTAATAACCTGTTAATAAACACCGGGTTCATTATTCCGACTTTCAAACTTTACCCTATGTGGAATATGGGAAAACCGAGAACCGTCAAGGATCGGGAGGAC